ATCTATCAACTGACCAGATTTGACTGAAATCGGACCAGCTGCCTTTGATTTGTAATAACACCTCAAAGTGTCCCCATCCAGGGAAAATAAAAATTTAAGTAAACACCAATTAGCTGTCAATTCGGGTACTCCGGTGAAAAACGGTTGTGTCTACTTCTCGATGAATATTTATGCTTTTGAATTTTCTTATTTTGACTGAATGCTCATAGTTCAAAGAAACGGAAAAAACGAAAGCTCAATGTTTTTAAGGTACACTTCGCGCAGAAATGAATTATTTGATGAACCCACCCATGTTTAGTTGTCTACCCTTAATAAGCTCTAATATCACAGGTGACCACCAGAGCCAACCAGAAGCGGTGTTAAATTTCGAAGCTGGTCCACGACCATGCGTCTCTGTAAATTACACCATCGTAAAAGCAGAACCAAAGTTAACACTTTAGCCAACAGGCCACGTTCGATATATCATAGTTAGTAGAGGGTACTATGGATATATCAATATTCTAACAGGGCTACGAGGCTTTCAGGACAAACTTCTACATTTGCTTGTGTTTTCTTTGTTTCCAAGTCTCTTTTGGAAATTGTGAGACAAAAGAAACAAAAAATTTGTAATTTTGATCCGAAAGCCTCGGATCCATGATATCGAACGTGGCCCATCACAAAGGACACATACAGTCCATTAAACCAATCAAAACTCGCGGCAAATACATGTGGCTGACGCGAAGTTACCAGCCTCTGTTCGAAAAAAGAGCTCGCGCTTCTCCGCCGAACTCTCTTCTCGGGGAGGAGCCAGACCGGACTCGAGTGAGCGGCGGAAATCGAGCCTAAAGCAAAGCGTGGGAAAACGTGTGCGAGCGTGGCACGATTGGTTTGGTTTTACTTCTGATTACATGACTAAGTGGCGCTTCGAGTGGTGATGCAAAACCAAAGTAAACGCAAATTACTCTCGACACTCGAGTGAAAACAGTTCTAAATTAAACAACTACAAGTTAAGTGGTTAACACTGAGGTTTAGTTTATGATATGCTTTGTCGTTCCAAAGTGCTTGGCTAATAAGATTGGGTACTGGAGACATACAACTCAAGAACAAAAAGCTTTCCATACCGCCTCCCCGTTTCGGGAGCTTTAACTCCTCTCGAATGGGATCAGTCAGGGTAACCGGTCATTCAGCCCCCAAGTCAATTAGCCCCGAACTGTTTACCCCCAACCAGAAGTCGAAAACACCGTCTATTTCTCACTCTTTAAGCGTGAATAGGGGCTAAGCGACTTCTGGTTGGAGGCTAACCAGCTAGGGGCTAATTGACTTGGGGGCTAAAAGACCAGTAACCGATCAGTGCTAACCTATTGCAGGGTTACCCCACTATTTATAATTTAAGTTCGGCGGCAATCATTTATATAAATACACTTGTGCAGACGGAGACTCACGAACATCACGCTGCTAGCAGGCCTGTCAGCTTTTTTCAATTAAATAAACCGAAATACATACGTATACCTAGCAACATGTTTATAGCAAAAACCGGAGGAGTTGTTCAACAGGTCATTTGCGAGTTGCCTTTTGCCTCTGTGTCAAAACGAGTCTTCGTGTAAAACCATTCATATGTAAATGTGTTTCCCCGACAGGTTCATTTTCATGCAAATCAAACTCATTTTCATATGAAAGGTTTTGCACAAAGACTCATTTTGAAACAGAGGTGCAAGGTAACTCGGGATTGGCCTATTGTCCTGAATTGGATACCGCACCTTGATTGTTGTTGACATATATAAATTTTGATTCTGTTTAGCTCCAGGGAGGCGTTATGACCCACTGGACTTAAAATCAAGCAGTCCGGGTTGTAGCCAAGTTTTACAATGCCTTCATGTAGTTCAACACGGACCAACAAGAATGCGCCAAAGAAACGGCTCTTATCTCCTCGTCTGAAAATCGGATAGGACATTTGAACGAGTCTAGACCCATTATTTGCGCGGCAACAATTCTGTATTACAATAATAAGCGTTGTTTCCGTGACCCATGTCGAAGGATACAGTGTGGGCGTGAGTTGAACTTTGTTACAAACTGGCCTTCAGTACATAAACCAACATACAAGTACTGATATATTTAGTCCGACTCATCACTGGCGTGAATTGTCATGTGTCCTGAACAAACAATACACTCCTTCCCTTTCAACTCCGATCGGCAATACTTGCTAACATGGCTTTCAGCCTATTGACAAAAAAA